ATCAGTCTAACACAGACAAACTCTGACAGCATGTTACACGTTTTCCTTCCAATAAAATCCAAGGAACTTCACCTTCCATAATCACACAGTAAATACAAAAGCACATTTTTGTTTTTGCCCCATTTTACAACAAAATGTTTGTTTTTTGGTTGAATTAATACTGACAAGTTTCAGCATCAAATTTGGGTTAATGTCATTAAGTGATTTTATGACTTATCATGAGGATAGGTAAGACACTGCATAGGTAAGTCACATATACTACTACCACACTGACTGGATTCTGAAAAGACTTAAGGAAATGATGTGTCCCAGCATTACTGGTAGGACTTGCTTGACTTTTGGATCCTATTTAGTGACTAGCTGGTGTAGCAGACCTAAATGGGCGTGAAACGTTTTCATATTAAATAATAAGAACTAAAGGATCCTGTTCTGGGAAAGAGGATTTATCTCATTATACATGTTAATGTAAAAGTATCTTTAAAAGCAGACTAAGAGCCAAAACATTCAGCAAATGAACTGCCAAAAGACACTTCAGGTATACAGTAGAGCAGAGTGAAATCCTGAACACTAGTTCACTGTACAGTAATGGGTCGGAAGAAGAATTTTAAACTCTCTCCTGAAGGAAATCGGTGCCTGTGGTGACGTTTCCACACTGTCATTAGGATAATAGCAGCACTGTTCTGAATATATTGGAATTTCTAGAGACTCCTGGCAGGGGACCTAAAACAAGAGCAATGTGGCAGTAAAGCTTTGTCCAGTCCCTGTAGACCTCAAGCTTTATATGAGTAATCTTAAACAGTATTTTTATGTGTACCATAAATATCATGAATACAATTCACTTTTTTACCCTACTATTCCTAAACGCCAACTGTCAACTCTTTTGCACTTTAGCTTTAAGACCTTGTCCCCTGCCTTTAAATCTTTGTTTTAATGCTGCACTACAGTATACGTTTTCACAGCGTATACTTTAACATGTCATGGCAGGGGAAGCACAGGTGTAAATAATAACATTAACGATTGCTGCATCCCATTTACTTTAGCCAGGGCCCCTGCATTGTGTATGCTGCATTGTTAATGTTATATACAACACTTGTGCTTCTTCTAATATGACAAGTCAAATTGTCTGCAGTGAATCGGATCTATTAATGCCTCCTACTCATAATTTCATAGGAGTTACTGTTTAAAACTTTGGTGACCACTGGTGTAATGACATTTGAATAGTGGTCCTCTCTAGCCGGTGGGTAAGAGGAAGTGCTCTAAACTGGCAGTGAACAGAATGAGATGTGTGTCAGTATGAGCAGCCCTGGGAACTGAGAACATGACAGGAAGATGAGTGAAAAGTACCATGCAACACAACGCAACATCCCCTCTGAGGAGAAAGGCACGAGTGTCGGCTCATAATGTGAAACATCATGTTACGCTGCACACACACTGACACACCTAACCCAACTATTCAGAATCCATAAAGAATTTCAATTTCGTACACAAGATACCTGAGAAATATCCAATTACATGAGTGAAGAATGATTGAAGGGTGTAGTAATGGAGTGAATGGTGACACTGTGAAACACCTAGTTACAAACAGTTTCCTGGATGCCATCATTCACACTGCAGTGGGAAAATACTGCAGCAACAGGTAGCTGACTGTTTACAGTCAACTGAACCCAGTCTCTCTGTGTGCTTTACCACACAACGTGAGAGACTCCGAAGAGGAAGGACAAGGACAGGGACGAGAGCAGAGGACAAGGGGATTGCACTGCCCAGAAAATGTTTGCAGAGTGGATTCTGAACACCGTTGTTGAGGTTACTATTTATCTCATGCCAGCCAAGTTGGCACGCACATCTGGCGCTGGGTACTTAGTGCAATTATTTATGATTTCCTCCAAGATTTAAAAGCTCTTCGCCCGGCCTTGTAATGCAGTAACTGATTGCACTGCTAATGTAATTAAGGGGAGATTATGATGTCCACGTGGCACACCAGATGGTGGCATTCACAGCGATGGGGGAAGGCACAACTGGCACACCACTGCACAAGGGCAGTGAGGCGCAGTCAGTCGGAGCAGTCCAGACTCCCCACCAGACGGAGAAAAGTATATGTGTGCACGTGTGTGTGGTGTGCATACACGGATGCATGTAAGTGTATGGGTGTGTGCTTGATGATAAGTTGTGCGATAAAGTTGGTAGAAATGAGTGAAATGCTACCAAAGAAATTACTTAAGACATGCAAACCATCTCTCAGCACTTGAGACACTTGCATACCCTCAAAAATGCATCATTCAGCTCAAATGCATAATACAGCTATTTGATATTGGAAGATTATATATTATGTGTATCTTTTAAAATATTGTTTGTATAACATTTGTTAATTATAAAAGGGAAGAATTTGAAAAATGATTCAGACAGCCCTTGCATTTTCAACTTGTGCATCTCAGTGCTTCAGCCAAGAAAACAGATGGCATAAATGAGAAATTAAATCACATTTGGCAAAGCCATCATGTTTCAGGAGATTTTTCAGCCAAGGCAACAATGAGACTAGACCAAACTGACCTTTAATTAGAAAAAAAGCATGATATTATAGAGCTCTGCAAGGCAGTATCCTATGGGGGCACTAAGGTACTTCTTAAAGCTTGTTATTGTAAGCTATTCAGGAGACACAGGGATTTTTTACATGTAGACAGAAAAAGGGGGGGTGAGGGTCATATACGAAATGAGACCTGCAGATTTCTACACAACCCATAATAGGTTCATGCGGGTGACGGGGACACTGGGGCACAGTAGATTTCCCAAGTTGAGATAGGGATATTATTACTCTCGGGGTGGCAACGCTGAAATCTCCATCTTCAGTCCCCAGACTAGTGTCAGCAAATTACAAAACACAGTGAATGACCTTTACACATGAAAAGAAAACCTTTGCTGCTATTTTTTTTAATCATTTGGGTGCAAAGCCATTCAGAGTGGTATAATTTTGGTCCAGGGGCTCTTCTGTTATCCATTGATTACCACTCATGACTACAATATTGTTAAGACTTACCATAATATGTGTATGACATTTTGTACATGATAGGATGATCCAGTGTTTATGGGGTTGATTTTAACTGAGATGTGTCATAAAGCATATGAAACAAAGCATGAACAGTGAAATCACAGTTTTAATGAACCTTTTCAAAATGCCAGCTATAATGCTATGCATCCTACACTGGCTGCTCCCCCACAGAAATGTGCCGCAGCCATCATTCATCTTACTCCACAGCCCTCAGCATGTGATGTGCAGAACATTAAAACACTGTAATAGCTGATGGCTTTCACAGTTAGCATGTGTTGCGGATATCTCTAGACGCTCAAAGAGTGTTTCATCACCTATTCCATAATTAGACCATTACTTTAGCAGGTGCACCTTTTCTCACTTGGAGCATGTGTTTTTTTTCTGTTTTTTTTTTTACTGACACCTGAGATTTTATCTTATCAGCTTCAGCACTGCCACAAAATGAGCATGCCTGTTTCAGTAGGTTGTCAACACCTTGATGTGTTGGTAGGATTATGCATGTGTGTGTGTGTGCACTCATCAGATATTACTCACATTGTGAGGATGAAAACTGTTTACTCATATGAAGGGGGGACTTGTACTTCCTTCCAGATGCTGGTCCCCATCATGCAAATCAATTAATTTTGGGTGACAGCTTCGTTTAAGGTTTGGGTAGGATGCATTAGAGGTAAAGAAGCAGTGGTCATGGTAATGGTTAGGTTAAGTCTCCAGAAAATGCATTTAAGTCAATGTAAAGTCCCCATGAGCAATAAAAACAAACCTGTATGTGTGTGGGGTGGGTGCGTGGGTAGTGATGATGTTAACATCACCAGTGAGTGTGGAGGTGGTGAAAAGTTCCCATTCATATGAGATGGCAGTTTTCCTCTGAATGTCTGCGCTCCAATAATAGAAGCGTTATAAATTTTAAAAAGGCAACACTGATCACATCATGTGCAGTCATGTAAGCCAATAAACACATCTCCCTGTGTGTGGCCTCGGCGACGACACCCTACTGGCATATGGCACCATCTCACAAAACAAAGCAACAAGTGTTTGATTTAAATAAATTAGGATAATAGTTGCACAGTGAAATAATTTATTTGATTGGTGTGATGGGGATAAAATAATAAACTTGGAAATGGTAAAGCATCTATCGTCCCTTTGTTTTGGACAGACTATGAAGAGGCTTTCAAGTGTTGTATTCTGGGAGATACACATCCTAATATTACAGCTAAGCTAATAGATTGCTCTTTATCCTAGTTTTATCTGATTACAGTAATGACATGTGATGATCAGAGAGACAACTAACTGTCAGAAGGCATGACCTGTGGATATCTCCATGTAATGATAGTCATTTAGTGAAGCACAACCTTAATTTAGTTACCATAGCCAAATTGGATCTCAGAAGTTATTGCAACGAAATACACCCACGAGTCAATGTGGTATTGCTGGCCAAGGCTTTTATTCTCTATGTATACACTACTCACTCTGACAAAGTAAATGGGCATGTTTACTACTCATATTGCTTTTTCATAGCACATTCATGACATGTTCACTTTTGTTGAATTAAATGTCTGTACTGCACTCAATGATTCAGCAGCATCCCATGTTTTTTTTAAATCAACAACTCATGATGGTGAAAAGTATAAATAATGAAAATATTATTAAAAAGCAACTGCATGCACTGCAGGCAGGGCCCTTAGTTGAGATAAATTCAAATAACTCCACAAAAGGGATTGCACATGGCAGTTTACAACACAGACTATGAAAAAATTACACACAATCAAACTGTTAAAAGCCAATTACAGTAAAAGGCATATGTTAACTTCTTTTATCGACAAATAAACTAAATCAAAATGGTACAGTAATTGTGCTTTGCTCTTTAAAATAGATCAATATGGATAAACTTTAAAAAAAAAATAAAATCGTTTATATAAATACATAAGGAGACATGGCTGGAGGGCAAAGACCACGATCCTTCAACTGGTTAACAATTATTTACCCACAATACCCGGAAGCGTTTACCTCCTACAGGTTGGCGGGGCAAAGTCCGAAATTCAATGCGTGACAGCTGTGACTCCAGAACCAGGTAATTAAGCAGGTAACAGTAAACAACACGCCGAGGACTGTGGGTTTAGGATTAACTTGTGTGTGTGTGTGTAATATTGTAGTTTCTCACGAGCCTCCAGTAATTAAACGGCTCTTGATTTATATGGTAGCCAGTCATCGGGCAGAGGTACACATGAGCTTTTTTTTTTTAATAAACAAGATGCATGTATAGCTTAGCTACAGTAGCATTAGCTCATGTCTGTGAAACATGTCATAATATCATATTAGCTAACACGTGAAATGAGGGGGGTTGGTTCGCCACAAAGCCTGCCCCCATTTAAAACGCAGATAATGTGAAATGGTTTTTGAAATACAGTACAATGGTTATATGCTAATAGTTAGCATTTATACGGTGGCCTCGAGTGGCCAACTCACTGTTACAAACAATGGTTACAATTTACTAGACAGAACACAAGCAAAGTAAGAAAACATCATAAATTTGGCAAAACAGGTGTAGCATTAAGAAAGAAAGTGCTGCAAATACTGAAAACACAACCACATGCAGATATTTGAATCATAAAAACAAACAGAAAACGGACTTTCATTTTCAAATACCTTAGACTTCAGTAGCTTCATCAGAACCAGAATCACGTTTATTGGCCCAGTATGTTTAAACACACAAGGGATTTGGCTCCAGTACAGAGGCCCTCAGTGTGCTTGTATGTGAGAAATAGTCAGTAAGTAGGTACTTCATCGCTTTCAATACGTACTGTCACAGTATGCGGTTTCGGACGCAGCCCAAGGCTGCCATTTGTGTGGCAGGGCTTAGGCGGTTTCTTTTTTTTGAAAATCCGAACCACTTCCTGAACCAGTCCCGTGATACAGCCGGGCAGCGAGGCTTCGGACGTCATCATTTTCAGCTCCTCCCCTAAA